ATACACATCTAGATGTGTATAACCCCTCCCCCTGAAACTAGGTGCCTCTGCAAAATTGGGTTTTCCCTTTTTTCTGTTGTCTGTTCGTGGTTGTTGGCCGTTGGATGTCTGTAGATGGAATTTGGATGGAGTGCATGTTGGCAAAATTTGTGGAGAAGTGCCTTCGCCGTGGGGCCTATGGGATTTAAATTCGATCTTACCAACCCGTTGGTGTGGACACGACTTTCAGGGTACTTTTCCTACTTTTTCTTCAAAACGCACTGTGGGATCCAAGCCTAACTAAGGGGATGATGCGACTACCACTCTTTTTGGGGATTTCTTCAAAATGCACTGTGGGATCCAAGCCTAAGGGTCTGATCCCACACGACATACGGTACGTAAAAAACTGCGTTTTGGCGGATCCCACAGTATTCCGAACTCGTAGGAGGTCCCGGTAACTTAGGAGGCGAGTGGAAACATTTGTAGTCGTGGCGGGTAGGAAATGAACGGCGCCGAAAAAGCTGGAAAATGGACGAGAATGCAAGAGAGCTGGGCCCGTACCCTGCCGCGAAAAAGAAGTGGCACTTTTTATTTTATGTTTTTGAAATTCTATGTGTCCGTTTCGGTGGGCTGGTTTGTCCGTGGTTCGGTTCGCTGTGTGGCACGGCAGGCCCCCGTGGGTGTCGGGAACTCGGCCCTTTGGCAATGTGTGCGACCAGTCCCCTGGGAAAAACAGTACTGTGCCGCCGCTGCCAGTAGTGTCCGTGCTACTGGACCCTTTTACTATCCGGACGAAACCCGCCCAATGAGAACGGGCGGCGCCCACGTGAATGCTGCGAAAGAAACGGGCCAGTGGGGTCCCCATTTTCTTTTACCGCCCGACTGGAGCGGCCCCACCTTTTTCTTTACTTTTACGGATTCAGACCCTAACTAAGGGGCTGATCTGACTACTACTGTTTTTGGGGAGAACCAAGAAGAACCGCGTTGATCGGTCCCAGGCCGGACCGAAAGAGCCCCCGTCGGGTGGGACTTTTTCGAAGCTCGTGCCGGGTATTCGTGGGCGGGGCATACAGGGCCATTCGTGACGGACGGAAGGCGGACCACCAGACACCAAGAAAAATAAAAAAACAAAACAAAAAAACCTCCTTCTTTTTAGATGCCCGTACGGTGCTGGCTTCTTCCGATTTTGGCAAGTTCTTTTTCGCCGCCTTTCCCGGAACACCTGCCACGTACACGTTTGTTTTCACTAGCTCCTACACGTTTGTTTTCACTAGCTGCCGAACTCGACGGGGAGACCTGCAAACTCGACCTGCAAACTCGGACGGAAAGTAGTCGGATCCCGTGAAACCCAGTAGACTACTCTCCCGTAGTAGTAGTCGGATCAGCCGCTAGAGTGGGATCCTTTCAGTAGTCCTCTCACTCCCCGGCTGGCGACAGAACGGGGAGGCTGGCGAAAACATCGGTCAGGATGGCAGCGTAGAACGGTTTCCCAAAAGCAAAATCGTCCAGCTCAGAAATCTCCCTTCTCGACACTTGTGTTTTGCGGAGGGAGGCATAACTGCGGAAACGTGGTTTGTTGAGGCCCTTCGAAATGTTTTCACATCCCAGATTGTCAGACGAGCGGTGTCCGGTAGGACCGTGCGAAGGCGAGTAGTACACCCACGGCCAAATTCGTTACCGCAAGGTATGAAGAAGAACGAAGGGGCAACGCCAATAGGGAATAAGGTCTGGCACGGGAAGGCCCCTGACGAACCAGGCAAGCACCCGAGCGCGCACACACATAAACACATACACACATACACACATACACACGCGCGCGCACACACACACACACACACGCACGCACGCACACACACACACGCGCGCACACACACACACACACACACACACACACACACACACAGAGAGAGAGAGAGAGAGAGAGAGAGAGAGAGAGAGAGAGAGAGAGAG